ATCATATCTTCGCACTATGCCACGTTGCAGAGAATTCGTCGGAATAAACACGTCCCGTGTACATCTGCTTTGTGGACGGAGACAAAGCCTATAACCGGATGTCTTTGCCCTGACCGAAGCATATGACCGGATCCCACGCAACAGTCTATGGCGATGCCTGCGGACATACGGAATTGATGGTCAGCTGCTAAGGGCCATACAGTCACTGTATTCTGATAGCAGGTGCTGCGTCAGAATTAATGGCGTTAATTCGAAACCATTGAAAGTTCGCACTGGTCTCCGCCAAGGCTGCGTTCTGTCCCCTATCCTGTTTGTGTTGTGCATGGATAGAATAGTCACGAGCAGCCAAGGCAATGAGTGCATCGGTGTAGGAGATGTGAAGACGAGAAGGCTGTTCATTGCAGACCACCTTGTTTTATTAGCATCTTCTGAAACTGATCTTCAGTGCTCCCTAGAAAAGTTCGCAGTCTAGTACCACGTGACCGGCATACGTGTAAACGCATCTAAAACAAAAAATGCCTAGTGCTTTCTCGCTCTCCTGTCCGCTGCTCTCTTCATGTTAACGGAAAGGCAGTGGAGCAGGTGGAGAAGTTCAAGTACCCTCGGAATTGCATTTACTAGTGATGGAAAATTGGAGGAAGAGATCGACTGGCGAAGTGGAGTAGCCAGCAGCGTTCTGTGTGAACCAGCCCCACGAACTGTGACTAAAGCAGAGCTCAGTCTGAAAACTAAGCTCTCGATATTCAAGTCGATCTTTATCCCCATACTTACCTACGGCCGTGAATCGTGGACCATCACTGAGAAATTTCGAGCCAGGGTACAAGCTGCTGAAATGGGCTTTCTTAGACGAATCGCTGGTCTTGCGCGTCTCGACATGGTCTGGAATACTGATATCCGGAAGAGCCTTGGTATACAGGCTTTGCTTCTCCAGATGGTTTTTTTTGCGAACGCCTTCAGAAAGGAAGGGTAAGGAACTGTTTTTTGTCCAACCGACCGGCAGGAGTCAAGGGGACGCCCAATATTAACCTGGTGCAAATATATGGAAGAAGTGTGCTCCAGACTCCAGCTGCCTTCTGCCAAAAGTCAGGATTGGAAACGTTCCAAGCAGTGTTTGACGCGCCTGCCTCAGCGACCCGAAATGAGAAGCAGTTATGGAAACTGAACTGAACTGAATCTTGACTTTTCGAACAGTGGGATCCATCAATAGAGGAGGTAATGCTAGAACCGCAAAAGAAGTGACTGCCAGTTTTTGCACCTGTGGTTACACTATGTTTCGTTACGATTGAAACAGCTCATCCAGAACGTCGAGATTTTGTTTAATAAAATTTGCGCAGAGTAAAATCTGTGAAGATCATTGATGATGAACATACCGATTATACTCATTCCTGTACTAAAATTGCTGTCGATGTGCTTTACATGGAGTTCATGTGTGTTGCTAAGAGAGCCGTGAAATCTTGAATTAACGGATCCTCTTAATCTCTATTTAAATTCTCTGAACGTAGCATTATGAAAATATGGTACAAGTGCGGAGACACCTTACTGTATATATAAATTAATTTCAACCAAAGTTACTGAAGATTTGTCAAAAATATATTTTCTTGCGCGGGTTAAAATTCTGACTTATAAATTGTGAGAGTCTGTATGTTCCGTCGCACTAGTCTGTTGGTAATGTTTCAGTCCAATAACTTAAGGCTGTGAAAGTACCAGCTAAAAAGGCGCTCGCTCCGATGGCGAAGGGGAAAAATATAAGCAAGTATTAAAAATTGTTTTGGCAGTAGGCTATTAAAAATAGCATGTAGATGCATGAAATGTATGAGTTGTTGTTGTACATCACTTTCAGCCGTTTATATAAGTACAACTTCTATGGTTTCTGATGTCCGCTGTATCTGCAAATTTTCTACTTTCGGCTCAAAAGCATCGGTATGTGCCTTTGCTTTGGTCCTCCATGTTGCGAAATGTCCAACCGGCCAGCGAATGCTGTGTTTCGGATTCCGTAGGAAAAACTCATGGGTTGGAGTAGATTGTTTATGCTCAACCAGCTTTTGTAACAGGGCCAACCTTTTATCTTCATGTTTATTGAGGTCATATGTGCAGAGAAAGGAATAGATATTCTTTACGTGGTCCGGCAAGCAAACCCTCTATGCGTCGAAACTAACGCTGCTGCATGCAGTTCCAAAGTTGTTCTTGCTCCGATACTACAGCTGTTATCATGCCGCAACAAAAACATTCACGTGACAGAGTCAAAGCCTGGTATTTCCAAATTTATAAGGGGAACAAGCACATGCGGGATGAAAACAACATAGACGACGAGAAAGACCATTTACTCCCGCACGCAGGATCCTCGTGTAGGAACCGAAAGGGAGCAGTAGCTAGAGAAACAAGGTCGAAGTAATCCGTTTTTGGAGTAAAAAATGACCTACTGCGAGGCACTTACCGGCGCCTTTAAGCAAATGTGTTGTAAAACAGTGAACGCGGCGGAAGTCATAAACCAGAGACGTTCTGCTTATGCAAACAGCTCAAGGCGATGAAAAACACAGAGAATAAACCTCGTGAATGTTTTTAACGAATGAAGGGACAATTAATAAATGCTTCAGCACAAAGATGTATTATGCAGAAGAATTACTTAACTTAGCTGAAGGACCATATAATGTGACTGATACATTTGTCAGCTTCATTCGACATCTGTGACATGCCATCTATGTACATGATCCAATAAATATTTTTTGTCCACAAGGTACATTATATTTCATGGCATCGCTAAAAACTATACAGGAACGATTCACCAACAATATTTCCATAAATGATTCTAGTCTGAAAGTAATTTTCCTCCACAGACATGATTAAATGGCAGGTATCAACTATTAGCTCTCAGCGACCAACCGTGTCAAGCTGATGGCCTATTTTTCGGGAAATAAAAGCGCGAAGATACAGGAATGAACGTTTGCAACCGGTGCAATTCGTGATTAAAACAACGATTTTCCTCAGCAAGAATCAACCCGGCATTATAGGAGTTTGAAGCTGACCTCCTACACGTTATGCTAGTACAGTGGCTCGAGGCCCGTCGTTTGTTTACTGACCACCCACTAAGACGTGAAAAACGCTGTATTTCGAAGACGAATGAGAATTGCATATCCACACTTCGGTTATCAGACAGTGAACCGGGCTGAAAGATGTCCTTGTGGGCAAGAGGGAAAGCAAAATGATGAACATGTAACTGGGTTTACTGAGCACTGACGGAGAGTTGTTCTTGTCGAGTGGTATCAGTGAGAACGCGAGAGGCCGAAGGACTGTCCTCCAAAAAATGGGACGATTTTATGTGTTTTACAAGGATCACTGTGGCAAGGAAATGCACTAACGACAGAAGAACTCAGAAAATGCTATAAATGGGAAAATCTGTGTGACTGCTGAATACCATTAAACAAAAACTACATTAATCAGAAAATGCTGACAAAAATTACCTGGAATTCTTTCTGCAATATTTCTTCAACTGAGCTAGACTCCATCACAGAGGTCGGCGGTGGATACGTAAACTCGCTGAAAGCAAACATACATCACGTCTCAGAATGAACTACTCGCCATGGAAGTAATGAAATTTTTAATCGGGCCATGCTCTGAAACAACTATGATACCGGGACTGGGTTTTTGCTTGAACCAAGAGTTTAACCGAAAGAAGACAGGAGTGGTACCAGTCCCCTTTCTGCGATTCATTGCTGTGTGCAACTTTGTCCCCATGCCATTAAAACAACTAAGCTGCTTTCTCAGCACAATCACTTAACAAGAAAAAAGTTCACTTCAAAAACATTCATCTTTAACATAATCTTAGACCAGAATCTGCAGCTTAATACCATTTTTTTTACACCGCGCTACCGTGTCATCTCTCGCTTTCCATTTTTCAGTGCATTAAAAAACATACGCTGTCTTCGCTTTACAAGACAGAACCACCATCTAATGCTTTTACTTAACTTACCTGTTATTGGGATTACGCCTAGCGTGAAAATTTGAGACATGAGTGTTCAGGATATATTAAAAAGTGTATTCGCCATCCTGGAGTTCTGCTGTTGTCAATAACGCTTTAATGCTTGCAAAAACTTAGGTTTCTGTAACAGTGCTGATCACACTTTCTGTTCTACAAACATTCAATGTCACTTTCATGAATACGCTATGTTTAAAGTTAGACAAGCAGACACTCAGAACTGACTTAATGAAATGCCGACTTTTGAATAGATCTTCAGAGTACATTTCGCCTACAATCGTTAAACTCGAAACCCCCCCCCCCACCTCAAATCTTACCAGATTGT